CCATCCTGGCTAACACAGTGAAACCCCGTCTCTACTAAAAATTAAAAAAAATTAGCTGGGCGTGGTGGCGGGCACCTGTAGTCCCAGCTACTCAGGAAGCTGAGGCAGGAGAATGACGTGAATCTGGGAGGTGGAGCTTGCAGTAAGCCAAGATCATGCCACTGGACTCCAGTCTGGGCAACAGAACGAGACTCCATCAAAAAAAAAAGAAAAGAAAATGCTGGAGTATGTCAGGGGAGTGGTGGAGAACCTGTGGTACGCAGAGACTCAGGATGGCCACAGAGAGAAGGACGTGAAACACCCTGCTCTGCCACCCCGTCTCCCCAGTCAGGATCAGCTCAGAACCAAGACGGATTTCTGTCTGGGGGAAAGAAAGGCAGAAGGTCGCCAACAGGTCCCATTGCCACCACAGACACCTGTAGTCTTTTCTGCTGGGGAATCCTGCAGTTCTCTCAGGCCCTGAGCCCAGTTTAGAGAGCTGCCTCAAATTTACATGGCCGTGTTACTGCAGAGAAGAAGCCCACATTGTGACCCAAGCTGCTACAGCATGGCATCATTTTCAAACTGGACCCACTGCTCTAGGGGACAGTAACCACTGCATCTCTCCATCCCTGAGGCTCTGCTGTCACTGTACCATCTCACACACAGTAGTGCAGCATCCCCCAGCTGAGGTGCTACAGCTCCCTACTCCTTGGGAACAAGCTGCCCAAGAGGTGCTCCATCTTACCCATCCTAGAGGCAGCACAGTCCTGAACTCAACTACTCAGAACCTAGGCCTAGCAGAACAGCCATGACCCTAGCACCCAAGCCCATGCAATGCCCTGCCTCCAAAGGAACAGGAAGTCTTGCTCAGCGGCGAAGCCAAGCTCAAGCCAGTGGACCAGCCCAGCATCCCTCAGCATGCAAAAAGCCTGATACTCCATCCACAAAGGAGCCATACTCAACCCAGTATGCCAGCCACACAGTCTCCTGCAGCCTAGGCCATTGAGGCACTTGCAGGCATTGCTGACATTGATTACAGCTGAAGAATGTGCATGAAGACCACACTACTACTGTACCCATGCAGAACCAAAGCCAATGTGCCTTACTCAACTGATACTTAGGCCCCATCTGCATGTTTAAAGCCTTTCCCTATGAAAGCCACGCTATAGAACTGGAAAAGGCAGCTGATCCATCAGCTGCAAAGGAATCAACATAGGAACACAAGAAGCATGAAAAAGCAAACAAATATGACACCAACAAAGAAACACAATAATTCTCCAATAACTAACCCCAAAGTCAGAGAGAAATGTATGAATTTCTTGAAAAGGAATTCAAAATAATGATCTTGAGGAAGCTCAACAAGACATAAAGAGAATACAGATAAGCAAAATAATTCTTGATCTGAGTGAGAAATTCAAGAGAGATAGATATATTTAAAAAAGAACTAAACAGAAATCTTTGAAGAATTTAACGAATGAAATAAAAAATACAATTGAGAGCTTCAAGAGCAGCCTAGATCAAGCAGGAAAAAAAAAGGAATTTCTTTCTTTTTTTTTTTTTTTTTTTTGAGACGGAGTCTCCCTCTGTTACCAAGACTGCAGTGCAGTGGTGCCATCTCAGTGCACTGCAACTTCCACCTCCTGAGTTGAAGCAGTTCTCATGCCTCAGCCTCCTTAATATCTTGGATTACAGGTGTTTACCACCACACCTGGCTAACTTTTGTATTTTTAGTAGAGAGGAGGTTTCATCATGTTCGCTAGTCTGTTCCTGAACTCCTGACCTCTGGTGATCTGCCTGCCTCAGCCTCCCAAAGTGCTGGGATTACAGGTGTGAGCCACTGCATCCAGTCAAAAAATAAAAAGAATTTGTTAACTTGAAGACAGCACTTTTGAAATAATGCATTCAAAGGAAATAAAGAGAGAATGAAAAAGAGTGAAGAAAGTTGACAGGACTTATGGGGACATCATTAACAGATACACTATGAGATTTTCAGAGGGAGATAGAGAAAGGCACAGAAAGCTTATTTAATGAAATAATAGCTGAAAACTTCCCAAGTCCTAGAAGAGATATATGGACATCCAGATCCATTGGACTCAAAGAATCCCAAATAGATTCAACCCAAAGAAGTCCTCTCAGAGGCACATTGTAATCAAACTGTAAAAATTCAAAGACACCGAGTTTTAAAAGCAGTAAGAGAAAAGCATCAAATCATATATAAGGGAATCTCCATTACACTATCAACAGATTTCTCAGCAGAAACTTTGAAGCCCAGGAAAGAATGGGATGATATAGTCAATGTTCTGAAAGAAAAAAAAAAAAAAAAAAAAAAACTGTCACCCAAGAATGCTATACCCTGTCATTAAGAAATGAAAGTGAAATAAAGTATATTTCAGACAAGCGAAAGCTGAAGGAATTCATCACCACTAGACTGGCCTTACAAGAAATGGTATGGAACTACTTCAACCAAAAGCAAAAGGATGATAATTACTTTCATCATTTTGTGTGTCATAAGAAAACATATGACAGTATAAAACTCACTGGAAGAGGTAAATTCATAATCAAATTCAGAATATACCATTACTCTAATGGTGGCATATGTCTTTCAGATCTCTAGTATGAATAACTACAGCTATAATAAACACTGTTAAGGAAAACACAATATAAAAAGATGTAAATTAAGACAAAAATTTTTTGTGTGAGTATCTGTACGGGACCAAAGTTGTTAATCAGCTTTAAAAAGTCTATTATATGTATAAGATTTTTCGTGTGAGTACCTTAGTAACCACAGAAAGAAAAATTACCTCAAATACACAAATGAGAAAGAGAAAGGAATCAAAGTTTAGCACTGCAGAAAACCACCAAAACAACAAAAGAGGAAGAAAAGAACAAAGGATATATAAATCAGAAAATAATTTTTAAAATAGCAGGAGTAAGTCTTTGCCTATCAATAATAACCTTGGGCTAGGTGTGGTGGCTCACACCTGTAATCCCAGCACTTTGGGAGGCCAAGGGGGCATGGATCACAAGGTCAAGAGATCGAGACCATCCTGGCCAACGTGAAACCCTGTCTCTACTAAACATACAAAAATTAGCTGGGCGTGGTAGCACGTGCCTGTGATCCCAGCTACTCAAGAGGCTGAGGCAGGAGACTCGCTAGAGCCCGGAAGGTGGAGGTTGCAGTGAGCTGGGATTGTGCCACTGCACTCCAGCCTGGCAACAGAGTGAGACTCCTCCTCTAATAATAATAATAATAACCTTGAATGTAAATAGATTAAATTTTCCAGTTAAAGATATAAAGTGGCTGAATGGATTTAGAAAATAAAACCTGCAACACCATCCAACTACATGGTGCCTGCAGGAGACTCACTTAACATGCAAGGTCACACAAAAACTAATGTGGAGGGATGGAAAAAGTTATCCCATGCAAATGGAAACCAAAGGAGAACACGAGTAGCTATACTTAGATAACACAGACTTTAAGTCAAAACTGCAAAAAGGAAGTCATTATATAACAATTAATATAACAATTTTAAATATATATGCAACTAACACCAGAACACCCAAATACATAAAGCAAATATTATTAGATCTATATGGAGAAATAGACTGCAATACAACAATAATAGGGGATTTCAGCACTCCACTTTTGGCAATGGACCAATCATCCAGAAAATCAGCAACATTAAACTGCAAAATAGACCAAATGGACCTAACAGACATTGACAGAATATTCCCCCAAAACACAGCAGAATACACATTTTTCCTCAATAACGCATGAAACACGCTCCCGATCAGGCTAAAGGCTTGCTATTGTTCCCACACAGCTAAGTGCCCAGGTTCATCCTAATCGAGCTGAGCACTAGTCACTGGGTTCCACGGTGACCCACGGCTTCTAATAGAGCTATAACACTCACCGCATGGCCCAAGGTTCCATTCCTTGGAATCCATGAGGCGGAGAACCCCAGGTCAGAGAACTGGAGGTTTGCCACCATGTTGGAAACGGCCCACCACCATTTTGGAAGCTACCGGCCACCATCTTGGGAGCTCTGGAATCAAGGACCCCCAGTAATAACAGTATCACTTTGGGGGGTTTAGGGAGGCAGGCTTTGAAGTACTATGCAGTTTTATTTTCCTTGTCTCTCACAATATATCCATGTGTGTTGTCCTCTGAAGTGTGTTTAAGTGGCATTAATTAGATTCGACAACTAGGAGGGGACAACATATATGCCTTCATACTCTCAACTTCTAAATGGCTCTGATTTGTTAAATGACATGAATTTTATGTATGTATGTATGCATGTATGTATTCATTTATTTTTGAGATGGAGTCTCGCTCTGTTGCCCGGGCTGGAGTGCAGTGGCACAATCTCAGCTCACTGCAACCTCCACCTCCTGGGTTCAAGCAATTCTCCTGCCTCAGCCTCCCGAGTAGCTGGGACTACAGGCATGTGCCACTATGCCAGCTAATTTTTTGTATTTTTAGTAGAGACAGGGTTTTACCATGTTGGCCAGGCTGGTCTTGAACTCCTGGCCTCAGGTGTTCCACCCACATTGGCCTCCCAAAGTGCTGGGATTACAGGTGTGAGCCATCGCGCCTAGCCATGAATTTTAATCTAGTTTCTTCAGCAAAGTGTTAGCCAGTAAAATGTTCTTAAGGCCAAGAAGATAACTACATTGTTTTCAATGTTTAAATCCAAAGGATTCTCTCCGTTGTTGGAACAGTATTTATTAGTAGATATACTGATATTTTAGTTTACATATTCAGAGAAGCAGGCTAAAAAAACAAACAGAGATGGCTCTCTGATTGTCCGTGTTCTTGACGTTTACAGGGGCACTGCGCTTAAAAATCAGCTTGCTTGAAAGGAGCAAGGCCCCAACTATGCGAATAAGTAAAAGCCGAACTGTCTATGCCATACTTGAGCTGGAACACTATCAATATTCAGTTTCTTCAACAAACTCCAGAAAAAATTCTAAATGTTTTATTGCCTCACTAATAAATAACAAAACAAAAACTCATGAATATTAGTAAGATAATGTTATTTATTGCTTTACTAATAAATAACAAAATAAAAACTTTGTTCCAACTCCACGCATTCCAAAATAGTGAAGTTTGATCCATGAGTGACCACAGCCATGGCCCCTCCATTAGCTTTTGATACTTTACTTGGAAGCAAGTTACTATTACAGAACATTAGGCTGCAAAAAAGAAACCACAAAAAATTTAAACAAGTGATACTCTTTTTAGCATCCGTGAAATAGTCCAATATATCTGAAAATGAAAAAGAATTGTTTTGAAATTATCTCCACGGTGACTTTGTTATTCTCAAAAGTACATATATTATATTACCTCTGCATATAACCTTTTTTTGAGGGGCGGGCTGGGGAGACCTAACAGAGCGAGCTGATGACTATGGCAGGTTTAAATAAGACCTTGCTCCAAGCGTGGCGTCGTCTTACTGCTTCTGCTTGCGGCGTTTGACTCTTTGCTTTCTGCTGATCCACCGCTTTTCCATGTCCTGGGTGAAACATTTGCTTTTATGATTACATCTCAACCATGTTGCTGCTTAGGACTGAATGTGAAACTGACCCCTCTCCTACTTTATCTTCTTTTTCCTGTGCTGTAACGAGAAATTTAGTGACTTCAGAAAATGGAGAGCCCATGCTGCAATAAAAATGTGGCAGAGTCAATGAATCTGAATTATGACAAAACAATAATCAACCATTAAGACTCCCCTCAGTAACTTTTTCCTTGGTAGATGAAACTAGTCTCTAAAAACCAACAAGCAAACAAAAAAAAACAAAAATAAAAAACTTTTCTTTTTAAAAAGTGAGCCCACCAAAATTAAGATTTTAATTTTGGGAAGTCATCACTTCAGCAAACTATGCTTTAGGAATTTTTTACTCTATATTGTCTTATTTCAGCTCATGGAAATTTTAGTTTTGTTATATTTTAGAGTCAATACTATTAAAGAACTGCAAGCTGGTATCAATTTTTTTGCACCTTCTTTTTGGTAACATGAGATACATATATCTATATACATGTTGGCCAGGCTGGACTCAAACTCCTGACCTCAAGCAATCCACCCACCTTGGCGTCCCAAAGTGCTGGGATTACAGGTGTGAGCCACCACACCTGGCCACATGTGATATATTTTTTTATTTTTTGAGACAGAGTCTCTCTCTGCCACCTAGGCTGAAGTACAGTGGCGTGATCTCAGCTCACAGCAAATTCCACCTCCTGGGTTCAAGCCATTCTTGTGCCTCAGTCACTCGAGTAGCTGGGATTACAGGTACGCACCACCATGCCCAGCTAATTTTTCTCTTTTTAGTACAGACGGGGTTTTGCCATGTTGGCCAGGCTGGTCTTGAACTCCTGACCTCAAGTGATCCACCCGCCTTGGGCTCCCAATGTGTTGGGATTACAGGCATGAGGAACTGTGCCCGGTCAATGCCATTTATTTTTAAAGAAACTCACAGCCAAGATGTGGTATATTTTAAAAGCATTTAAATCACTATTCTGTTACAAGATATGTGCTTAACTAGTAAGAACTCTTCAGAGTTAAAGTTCCCTAACTACCAAAATACCAAGTATTTCTCTGACATCCTACTTTCCTGAAATTTAGGGAAGTCAGTCATGAGGATTTTGTTGAACAGCCAAAGAAATTAAAATAGAGTCATGAACAGTAGTAAGGCCAGTAGTATTTATCCCAAATTCAATATCGGATTTCTTTTTACCTTCAGAGGACATGCGGATTGGAACAAATGAAATCACTAACAGTTCTTTCACGTTTAGAGGTTTAGCGATCATGGTTATTCTCGGGCAGATAAAAAGGAAAAAAAAAAAAAACCAGAGGCTTAGTGAATCGTCAGAACCCTTGTGTGGTGCTGAAAATAAGAAACTATATTATGTTTTCAAGCTAGCTCTCCTCAAGTTTTAGTAAGTGGTGAAACTGGTTGGGCATGGGGGCTCATGCCTGTCATCCCAGCGCTTTGCGAGGCCAAGGCAGGTGGATCACTTGAGTCCAGGAGTTTGAGAGCAACCTGGGCAACATGGCAAAACTCATCTCTTTTTTTTTTTTTTTTTTTTTTTTTTTTTTGAGACGGAGTCTCGCTCTGTCACCCAGGCTGGAGTGCAGTGGCCGGATCTCAGCTCACTGCAAGCTCCGCCTCCCGGGTTCACGCCATTCTCCTGCCTCAGCCTCCCGAGTAGCTGGGACTACAGGCGCCCGCCACCTCGCCCGGCTAGTTTTTTGTATTTTTAAGTAGAGACGGGGTTTCACCGTGTTAACCAGGATGGTCTCGATCTCCTGACCTCGTGATCCACCCGTCTCGGCCTCCCAAAGTGCTGGGATTACAGGCTTGAGCCACCGCGCCCGGCCTCATCTCTTAAAAAAAAAAAATTAGCTGGGCCTGGTGGTGTGTGCCTGTAGTCCCAGCTAAGAAGGCTATGGGAGGAGGATCGCTTGAACGCTGGAGGCTAAGGCTGCAGTGAGCTGTGATGGTACCACTGCACTCCGGCCTAGGTAACAGAGTGAGACCCTGTCTCATAAAATAAGTACAGAAACTGTTTCTTTTTTTTTTTTTTAATTGTTTCGAGACGGACTCTTGCTCTGTCGCCCAAGCTGGAGTGCAGTGTTGGGATCTCAGCTCACTGCAACCTCTGCCTCCCCAGGTTCAAGCAACTTTCCTGCCTCATCCCCACAAGTAGCTGGGATTACAGGCATGTGCCACCACACCTGGCTAATTTTTGTATTTTTAGTAGAGACAGGGTTTTGCCATGTTGGCCAGGCTGGTCTTGAACTCCTGACCTCAAGTGATCCACCCACCTCAGCCTCCCAAAGTGCTGGGACTATAGGCATGAGCCATCATGCCCGGCCAACTGTTTCATTTTAAAAGAAACACAGGGGAGGAAGATTTGTAGTTTAAGCTAAACAAGAGAGAAAAGCCACTTTGATATATACATATGAAGCACAGATTGCCAGTGCTTGCTAAGTTGTATCCCACATAGTATTGGCTGCCTCTTCATATTTACACCCGTTCAGCCCAAGCAGTGAGTGTGGAAAAGTGAATTGTTAAACATTAGAGAACTCTGAATATTGGCATTAAATGTAAATACATTAACTTAACATCTTCGACTTATCCTGAAAACCTTGCCAAACCGATAATGCACATTCTCCTGAAGACAGGAAAAGAGAACGCCCACAACTCTTCCTGTCACTCAGGGTCCTGGCTGAATGGACCCTCCTGTTATTCTGACTCTTCTCAGAGAAAAGCAGACTTGGCAGGGTGCGGTGGCTCACACCTGTAATCCCAGCACTTTGGGAGGCCGAGGCGGGTGGATCGCTAAAGGTCAGGAGTTCAAGACCAGCCTAGCCAACCTGGTGAAACCCCGTCTCTACTAAAAATACAAAAATTAGTTGGACATGGTGGCGGGCACCTGTAATCTCAGCTACTCAGGAGGCTGAGGCAGGAGAATCACTTGATATCACTTGAACCCAGGAAGGGGAGGTTGCAGTGAGTTGAGATTGTGCCACAGCACTCCAGCCTGCGTGACAGAGGGAGACTCAGTCTCAAAAAAAAAAAAAAAAAACAGACTTATGGTTGCTTCTTAGCTTCTTTCTAGAAGGGACCTAGGCACGTGCCACCAGGAGACCCTAGAGGACCAGCACAAAATGGAAAGCACATGTGCCTTCTGGGATGCAGCAAGCTGGGCGTTCTCCCAGCTCCCTTCACACTTGTACCAAGGCACCTGCTTGATCTGTAAGTAAAGCTGTCAGAGAAGCTGCAGCAAAGGCGGTGGGCTCCAGATTCCTAATTCCCTAAAGCAGTGGTTCTCAGCTAGGGTATTTTGCCCTGAGGGGGCATGTAGGAAAGTCTGGATACATTTTTGGTTGTCGTGACTGGGGGTGGTATTGGCATCTAATATGTCAAGGCCAGGGATGCTGCTACACATCCCGCAGTGCACATACAGGCCCCACCACAATGATTCAGCCCCAAATAGGGCCAACGTTGAAAAGCCCTGTCCTAAAGATAGTCCAGGTGATGGGGTGGCTTTCAGCATTGCTGTAAATACAGCACGCACCTGGGCCATTCAGTCCTCCCATTCAATCCTCTAAGAAGTTATGTATATTGTTTAGAATGTATTGGGGCTGGGAGTGGTGGCTCACTCTTGTAATCCCAGCACTTTGGGAGGCCAAGGCGGGTGGATCATTTGAGGTCAGGAGTTCGAGACCAGCCTGGCCTACATGGTGAAACCCTGTCTCTACTAAAAATATGAAAATTAGCCAGGCATGGTGGTGCACACCTGTAATCCCAGCTACTTGGGAGGCTGAGGCAGGAGAACTGCTTGAACCTGGGAGGCAGAGGTTGCAGTGAGTTCAGATTGTGCCAGCCTGGGCCACAGAGCAAGACCCTGTCTCAAACAAACAAACAAACAAAAAAAGTATGTGTTGATAGAGAAGGTAAGTCCCCATAGTCTTAGGTTAAAAAAAAACTAAAATTTCTTTAGGGTTTTTACCATCATCATCTTTTGAAAGGTATAAACTGAAATTCACTTAGTATTTTTTTTTTAATTTTCACATTAGAAAATCCAGGATCCAGAGCAAGACTGATCAAAACCTAAAACAGAAACAACTGTCCACCATGTTGAGTCTCTATAATAACAACTTTTGCAGGCAAGTTAAATGCATTAAAATGACAGAACTATTAAAAATTTCAGACATCACTCCCTCATTTTATAGGCAAAGGCAGAAATGCTCAGTGGCAAAGTTGGGGTATTAAAAAATATACATCCTAATGGTTCTCAGCTCCTAGGAAAAAGGAAGATGGTTCTTATTTTTACTTATTGCAGTGAATACTGGATTTATCCTGAGAATGTGTCCAAGAAAATATACAGATGCTTTTTGATCTAGGAGACTGAACTTGAAAAGTTTTTTTCCCGGAACACCTCTGTATGCACAAATTTAGTACAAGAGTCAAGCCTTAATCTGCACAGTGATGGTGTTTAGACTGGTACAGTGGAAATACAGGCAAAACCGGATGAGGAAAAAGGCAAGGGAATTATTAAGATGGACTGGACCCAAGCAAGGAGCACCTTAGTTGACAAGTTGCAAAGGTAAGTTCTGAGAACCCATTCAAGAGTAAAGACCCATCATCAAATATCCAAATGCCAGCTCGCAGGCCAAAGGACTTCCATACAATTTTGAATAGTCAGTCATTCATTAGAGGGAAATTATCCAGCTTGTTATATTTGATCCGCTCAGTACATTCAGGAAAAACACAGATCTCTGTTGGAGTTCAACATACATTACCTGGTCATCTGCACCACATCCTGTGTCTGAAAATTGTTCCCGTCTTACAGGAAGAAATGACATTCTTGAGCCCTCCTTCCTGCAAATATCACATGATATTTGCCACCTAGTATTTCAAACGTCCCCAACCTGTGAAATATAGTTTGAGCCTTCAGAAACCCAGGCTACAAACCTTAATGCTGTCCTGAACAAAACCAACCCTCTGTTGAACAATTTCTCCTTGGGTTAGAGGAGGAAAATGATCCCTGATTCCCATGCATACATGCAGGATTAAAAGAGAATGTCTGGGAAGAGGCCTTGGATTCTTATGTTATTTATTTTTTTTAGACAGAGTCTTGTTCTGTTGCCCAGGCTGGAGTACAATGGCATGATTTCGGCTCACTGCAACCTCCGGAAACCCGGTCTCTACTAATAATACAAAAATGAGCTGGGTGTGGTGGTGGGCATCTGTAATACCAGCTACTTGAGAGGCAGGGGCATGAGAATCACTTGAATCCAGGAGGCAGAGGTTACAGTGAGCCAAGATCATTCCACTGCACCCCAGCCTGGGTGACAGAGCGAGACTCTGTCTCAAAAAAATGAAACAAACAAACAAAAACCCCTAGGCAAACAGACAAGACATTACAAAGACCACTATGGAAGCAGATATTTACAAATACAGTCATATATTCTGTCTACTCCATCGTTTAAGAGACGGGAAATCCAGAGCTCAAGTCCAACCTACCTTAAGCAAATTCAAACTATGTCATTACAAAGCAGCTTAATGATTACTCATATCACAGAACGGTTCATCAGGACATGTTGTCTACATAGCAACATCAGTTGGCATTTAAAATATAACTCATTTACAAATGTTATTTAATTTAGATACAATTGTGGGAATATGAGTTGGGGTAAAATGAGGGTAGAGGAAGGACAGAGGGAGAAAGTAACAGCCCCTTTCCAAAAGTGTCTGGGGTTGAGGGTTTCCGAATATTAGATGCAAAGGCCAGAGGAAGCATCTGAGGTGATAATCACAGTGATCTTCTTATTTTTTTCCCAAAAAGTAATGTTTTGTTTTTTTTTTCTGAGACGGAGTCTCGCTCTGTCGCCCAGGCTGGAGTGCAGTGGTGCGATTTCGGCTCACTGCAAGCTCCACCTCCCGGCTTCACACCATTCTCCTGCCTCAGCCTCCCGAGTAACTGGGACTACAGGCGCCCGCCATCACGCCCGTCTAATTTTTTGTATTTTTAGTAGAGATGGGGTTTCACCATGTTAGCCAGGATGGTCTCAATCTCCTGACCTCGTGATCCGCCCACCTCGGCCTCCCAAAGGGCTGGGATTACAGGCATGAGCCACCCCTCCCGGCCCCAAAAAGTAATTATTCTTAACCTGCTTCCCAGGCTGGATTTTGTAGCACTGTGGCTAAAACTTCCAGACAGAGATTAATATGAGGGTGCAATCTGAGGATATAGCAATCTGAACATGCAGGAAACGACAATGTATATGCATGGAAACAATCTGAGGGCGTGACACCCTGGACACACAGGGTCTCTGATGCCTCGGACATCCTGGACACAAGCTGGAGTTTCCTTTTCCTTTTTTTGAGGCGGAGTTTCGCTCTTATTGCCCAGGCTGGAGTACAATGACACAATCTCAACTCACCGCAACCTCTGCCTCCCGGGTTCAAGCGATTCTCCTGCTTCAGCCTCCTGAGTAGCTGGGATTACAGGCATGCGCCACCACGCCCGGCTAATTGTGTATTATTTTAGTAGAGATGGGGTTTCTCCATGTTGGTTAGACTGGTCTCGAACTCCCAACCTCAGGTGATCCACCCGCCTTGGCCTCTCAAAGTGCTGGGATTACAGGCGTGAGCCACCGCACTCAGCCTGGAGTTTTCTATTAAAGCAATTCTTTAGATCTTTGTTGCAAGAGCAAATGAGGCAGCAGATAGCTACCTGCTTCGTTCAAAAGATCAGGAGGCAGTTTGGTCTAAACCAGTCCAGTATACTTAGTTTGAGGCACGGGGGTGGGGCCGAAAGGGCACCTGCCAGACAGCTCTGGGCTGGCCTGGGGCCAGCATGGAGGGAAGGAGGCCCTTTGGATTCCCCACCTTCTGTGTGGCTTCTGCTGGGTGTGGACATGAGGCAGGCAGAGGCCAGGGCTGGCATGATCAATTGGCATTTTGTGAATGGCTAAGTAGCAGAAGCAGGTAACACATGAATATGGTGTTTTAGAGAATAAATCCCAACCCATTCACAGAGGTTCAGTTTTCTTCGGTTGTACTACAAAAAAAAAAGGAGGAAAAGAAGAGGAAAAACAGACTGACGGAGAGGAGAGAAAGAAAGAATCGGGGGTGGGTGAGAAGTGAGAGAGAAGAAAGAGAAAGGATGGCTGCATCTCACGCAGCGCTTATTCCCAGGGGTTCTCCCGTGACCGCTCAGAGGATCCTGTGGGTAGAGACCGGAATGACAACTCTGCTCACTGTGAGGGATGGCAAGAGAGGTCTTGTGAACACTTTGGTCTCCAGCATCTGGGGCCTGTTTTCCTGCTTGGCCTTTTGGGTTATCACAGGAGGTCTTGGATCCTTGGCTTGGAATTTGGATTTGTAGTTTTGCACTCCCCGTTTCTGCAGAAGCTGCAAGGCAGCAAGATAGCGAACGTTACTGGAGTCTGAAGGGCACGCCAGGTTTTTCTCAGACAGGAGGGACCAGTGCAGACAGCACTGCTCCGGATCGGCCAGCAGGGATGTCCGGGCCGCTGGGGAAGGGGAGGATGGCGTGTCGTTGACCACAGTGTGTTTGGCCAGCTCACTGGGTCTCTTTTCACCTTTCCCATCTGCTGTTTTCAAGCCATATGCACAAGCCAGACACCCATCCTTTTCCACACTCAGCACCTTCTCTTCTGACTGCAAGAAAGAGTTCTTACTCTTCTTACCCAGAACATCCAAGGCATTTGAAAGTGAAGCCTTCAGGGGTGGCAGAACTAGGAGGGCCCTGGAAGTCAGGGGGCCTGGGATGGACAGCCCTCTGTGGGCCCCTCCACTGGGGTTCCGAAGGGCCTTGCTCCTACTACTGTCCGGGATGGCCCAGTCTTCGGTGCACCAAATAAACTCCTTGATTTGCAGACTTTTTTTCTCTGTTCGAAAGTAGGTGGGAAAGCAGATGTTGCTAATCGCCCTGGAAGCGGTGCTGGGGCCCTGGGGGGCTGCCTGAGTCTGGGAGGGGCTGCTCTGATCCTTCTCTGGGCCCCCCTCCGTAGGAGGCTTGGTCTCGAGGCTCCTGTGGGCCAGGTTAAGACACACCAAGCAGTCACTGCAGGCACCTTCCCCTACCCTCGCCTTTTTTGGTAACTTCCTCGGCCAGATGCAGGCAGCTGGAGAAGTCCTTCCCCACCCTTGGACCTGCAAATAAAGCAGCATGTTACTCCCCCAGCCAAGGGGCCCAAACTGTCCCTGCTCCAATTTTGGCCACATTCCTATTTTGGCAGTCTTACGTGAAACAATATTCTTATTTTTATTTTTTTTTTTTACTACCCCTTCCCCTACCAATAACTTTCTTAAAATTCATTCACTTAAAAAAAAAATTCTTCAAAGTTTCAAAGCATGAAAAAAAAGTGTAATATCTTACTTTCACCCCTACAAAGTAATAACAGTATTTGTAATAGGATTTGTTAATCCTAAATACTAGCAATGGCATTTGTTAATACGAAAACACTAAGCAATAGTGTTTGTAAATGGCCACTTTGAGGTGCTGACTATATTTCTTTTCAAATGCACATTTAAATTCGAAGCTATTAAAATAAAACGAAAACCGCTCATACTTGGCCCACCAACAAGGATTTCGAGCACCACCAGTCTCTGCTTCCCATACCTGGGGAACACTGTTGCTTGGAGAGGCTGGAGGGAGACCCGGGAGCAGAGGCAAGTCCTGGAACGCAGAGGAGCCCTGCATACCCAGGGACACCTACTCCCCATCCACGCCCAGAGTCCTCTGGCTGATCTTGTCACAGAGATCACGGTTAAAATAGGGTTGCGGCTGGGCGCGGTGGCTCAAGCCTATAATCCCAGCACTTTGGGAGGCTGAGACGGGTGGATCACAAGGTCAGGAGATCAAGACCATCCTGGCTAACACGGCGAAACCCCGTCTCTACTAAAAAATACAGAAAACTAGCCAGGCGAGGTGGCGGGCGCCTATAGTCCCAGCTACTCGGGAGGCTGAGGCAGGAGAATGGCGTAAACCCGGGAGGCGGAGCTTGCAGTGAGCTGAGATCTGGCCACTGTACTCCAGCCTGGGCGACAGAGCAAGACTCCGTCTCAAAAAAAATATAGGGTTGCCAGATAAAAACACAGGATCACATTTTGGACATACTTATACTGATAAATGAGGTGTTATCTAGTAATCCTATGTTTAATCACTGGATTAGACCAAGTTTTCTTATAGTTTTATGCCCTTTTTTTTTTTTTTTTTTTTTAATTCTTATAGTTTTAAACATAGGATTCTATTATTGATTCTAAGAATTGTTTAAGAGCAAGCCTGCAGACCAGGTGCAGTGGCTCAGGCCTGTAATCCCTGCACTTTGGGAGGCTCAGGTGGGCAGATCACCTACGGTCAAGAGTTCAACACTAGCCTGGCCGATATGGTGAAATCCCGTCTCTACTAAAAATACAAAAATTAGCTGGGCATGGTGGGCACCTAAAATCCCAGCTACTCAGGGGGCTGAGGCAGGAGAATCACTTGAACTCAGGAGGCGGAGCTTGCAGTGAGCCAAGATCGCGCCACTGCACTCCAGCCTGGACGACAGTGAAACTCTATCTCATCGCGGGGGGAAAAAAAAAAGCCTGCAGAGTTCTGAGTAGGAACCATTAGGATAGAACCTCAGTTCTCTCAGGGAGTTCAGCATAGCCGTTAAGAAGTCAGGGTTCTAGAGTTCAGGAGAACTAGATCCAAGCCCTGCCTTGGCCACTTACTAGCCGGGTGATCTCGAGCATGTTACTTTGTCTTCCAGGTGACTCAGTATACTTATCCACAAAGCAAGGCTGGGAATAATATTTGCCTCATATGGCTATTGAGAGGGTAGATGAATTAATGTATCCAAAGCACTTAGTACTGTCCTGTCCACATACTAAGTGGTCATAAATACACACAGTAGGTGCTGCTATTATCATCAGTAATATTTTACCTTGATTCCAGGGTTTCTACATGTCATTGATTCTACATTTTTTGGTAATATTAACTGTTTTCGGAAAAAAGAGGCTTGCACCAAAACACTGATGTGCAAGAGATAGAAAAGCTGTGACTCAGAAAGATACTCACTGCCTCTTCCCATCCCGTTCCAATAATAAACTCTTCGGCTTTTTCATCTTGTTCAAGCGTAATGTCACTGATATCGAGAAGACAATAAACATGATTCTTTTCACTTCTTCCATCTGGACAAGTACAGGTTGGTTCTGTTTCTTCTGTGCTTTGAATTTCATTATTTTCACCATTTTCTAAGTCAGTCTCATTTTTCTGACAGAGATCCATTACTACGATGGTTGCTTAAAGTTTTTAACATCTTCTTGCTGTTTGAAAACATGAATGGAACTTCGTTTTTAATATTAATTTTTTTTAAAAAAAAGCAATTCAATACTCAGGTGAAATATCTTCAAGACACATTCAGGAATATGGCCAGCCGCGGTGGCTCATGCCTGTAATTCCAGGAATTACTTTGGGAAGCCAAAGCAGGCAGATCACTTGAGGTCAGGAGTTTGTGGCCAGTCTGGCCAACATGGTGAAACCCCATTTCTACTAAAAATATGGCGGGCGCCTGTAATCCCAGCTACTAGGGAGGCTGAGGCAGGAGAATCACTTGAACCCAGGAGGCAGAGATTGCAGCGAGCTGAGATCGGGCCACCGCACTCCAGCCTGGGTTAAGAGAGTGAGATTCCGTAAAAAAAAAACAAAAAAGGAAGGGAGGGAGGAAGGAAAGAAGGAAAGAAGGAAGGAAGGAAGGAAGGAAGGAAGGAAGGAAGGAAGGAAGGAAGGAAGGAAGGAAGGAAGGAAAGAAGGAAAGAAGGAAGGTAGGTAGGTTGGTTCAGGAAGAGACTGAGAACAAGTATTACAAAACCATCCACTGCCAACCACTGGCACTATGAAAGATAAGGTAGCCAGGAGCAATGGCTCACACTTGTATTCTCAGCACTTTGGAAGGCTGAGGCTGGTGGATCACCTGAGGTCAGGAGTTTGAGGACAGCCTGGCCAGCATGGCGAAACCCCATCTCTACTAAAAATACAAAATTAGCTGGGTGTGGTGGTGCGAACCTGTAATCCCAGCTACTCAGGGGGCTGAGGCAGGAGAATCACTTGAATCTGGGAGGCGGAGGTTGCAGTGAGCCGAGATCGTGCTATTGCACTCCAGCCTGGGCTGCAGAGCAAGACTCTGTCTCAAAAAGAAGAAGATATGAAGAGACATAGGGAGAAGATGGCCATCTATAAGCCAAAGACGGCAGCCTGGAACAGAGCCTCCTCTCACAGCCCTCAGAAGGAACAAACCCCGCCAACACTTTGATTTTGGACTTTGCGAATCCAGACCTATGAGGTAATACATTTCTGTGGCTTAAGCCACTCAGTCTGTAGTACATTGTCATGATGTCCCTAGCAAAGTAAAATAGTAGGTGATGGTGATAATGATGGTGATAACCCTATCTACCATTAATGGATGTTCTTCTGGAAAATGCACTTGGCATTTAGAATCTAGACAAAGGGTCTGCAAAGTTGTAAACCTGATCAGAGCCAAAGAGCTGAACAGTTCCAGGCCTATTTATTGGCTGTGTCTCTGGAGCAATGACTTACTTTTCTGGGTCTGTTTGCCCATCTATAAAAAGGGCAAAAGTGGCTGGGCGCAGTGGCTCATGCCTGTAATCCCAGCAGTTTGGGAGGCTGAGCTGGGCAGATCATTTGAGGTTAGGTGTTTGAGACCAGCCTGACCAACATGTGAAACCCTGTCTCTACTAAAAATACAAAAAAGTTAGCCAGGTGTGGTGGTGCACACCTGTAGCCCTGGCTACTCAGGAGGCTGCGGCAGGAGAAATGCTTGAACTTGGGAAGCAGAGGTTGCAGTGAGCCAAGATTGCGCCACTGCACTCCAGCCTGGGCGACAAAGTAAGAATCTATTTCAAAAAGAAAAAAAAAAAGGGCAAAAGCATAATACCTTCCTACAGATAGGAGCTCTTCCTGTGGACCCCACAGGCTGCGGAAATTAACTGGAATACGTGAGCAGTGACCACCAACGCTCTGGTTTGAGTGCTGATAAGCACCCATTGTCTTCTCAAGAAGTTCCTTGCTTGTGCTGAGAGAGAAGCCACAGGGGACACCCACTCCTTGCTTTCTCTCAGCCGAACATGACCCATGCCAGAAAACTAGTTTTTTTCTTTTTCTGTTTAGGAAGAGATCAGTACTTCTTATAACAAATCTGTTTAATTACCATTTTGACTTTTTCACATAGGCTTACAGTAGTTTTTTTGGTTTTTTGTTTTGTTTTGTTTTGTTTTGTTTTGTTTTGTTTCTTTGAGACAGAGTCTCACTCTGTTTCCCATGCTGGAGTGCAGTGGTGTGATTTTAGCTCACTGACAAAATGTACAGGAGTAAATTTTGTATAATTTTAGGTTGGAAGTTGTACCTCCGCCTCTCAGGTTCAAGCAATTCTCCTGCCTCAGCCTCCCGAGTAGCTGGAATTACAGGTGTGAGTCACCGTGCCTGGCCAACACTACATTTTTATAAGCACTTTACTTATGTTATGACGGTTCATGAGGAACTGTATGGATTCCTTGTGACTCAAAGCTAAGAATCATCCCTGAGTCAATTAACACAGTACTATTAGTCAAAAGGTCAGATTACTGCATACCGGATCACCAGATGCACCTTCAGAACCCTGGTGTACTTCACGCAGAATCAAGACGCTCCGCTACTAAAAGAGAATGCTGGTGGTCTTTTCCTAATTAAAAAGAAATTCAGTTAGTGGATAGAAAAGCTGTATTTTAAGTTTCCCTTCTCAAAACTTACTACCAAGTTGTTGTCTGTCTCCCTCCGGTCGCCCAGGCTGGAGTGCAGTGGTGTGATCTCAACTCACTGCAACCTCCGCCTCCCGGGTTCAAGCAATTCTCCTGCCTCAGCCTCCCAGGTAGCTAAGACTACAGGCGCCTGCCATCACGCCTGGCTAATTTTTTTGTAACTGTCAAGTTTTATTACCCATTCTTGTCTTCCAGCTCATGTTAGCAGATGACACACAGAAACGTACAAGAATCAATAGAAGATCAAAGAAAAGAGTGGATGTGTGATTCCTTGCAATTTGTATGCAGTTTTACTTTTATGTTGGAATGCAGACATCTATATTCATATAATATTTTCTGGTAGTAAAATTATGCCTGACTTACAGATTTGACGTAAATCAAGAGCTCATGCCATCCCATTTCTTGGCTTTCACTGAACTTTACAACCTGATTCCGTTTGAGAATCACCAGGATAAAGCATACATCAAAGTCCATACTAACGTTTTCCACCACATCAAGAAAACACAAAGATCACAATGAACATGTTGCCATGGAGACGCATGTGCTGATACAACTGTAAAATTGGATTTAGAGTACAAAGCAGGAAAGCTCAAAGATGTAGGCCAGAAGGTATTAAACTCTATTACACAGGCTATTAAAGTGATTAGAACCAACATGTACAAAAGAAATAGTTGACTCAGATCCAAGCCCCCGAAGTGCATGTTTGGATAAACAAGAATAAACCCAAAGAAAGATTGATGAAAGAACTTAATATATTTGGAAATGAAATAAATGAGAGCCTAAAAAATATAGCCTATGGAAATTTACCATAATCCAGAAAATATCTTTTCTAGCAGCATTTAAAGACAGACACGAAAAGGAAATGATCAGCCAAAGAACTGTAAAGTAGTTTATTTTCTTTTACCAATAATATGATTTGCTTCAAAATAATGTGAGGTTGAGGTTAGGGAGGGAATAATGAAACCAAAGTGCCCTTAAGTTCTGTTTGTTGTAGATGGGTATGAGGACATGGAGATTAATCGTACTATTATATTTTTATGTAAGCATGAAATGTCTCATAATAAAACTTTTAAAGCCATGATGTTATCGGAGAGCTTCAAGAAATGAAATGTGGAATAATGATAGAAGCCAGGGTACAATGAATTTTGACCTTAAGCAACCTGAAGTAAATGTGGTTTTTTGTTTGTTTGTTTTGTTTTGTTTTGTTTTGTTTTGAGACACTTGCTCTGTTGCCCAGGTTGGAGTGCACTGGTGCAGTCTCAGATTACTGCAACCTCTGCCTCCTGGGTTCAAGCGATTCTCCTGTCTCAGCCTCCCGAGTAGCTGGGATTACAGGCATGTGTCACCATGCAGGGCTAATTACTTTTAGTAGATCTATTTTTAGTAGAAACGGAGTTTCACCATGTTGGCCAGGCTGGTCTTGAACTCCTGACCCCAGGTGATCCACCCACCTCAGCCTCCCAAAGAAATGTATCAATGAACGGATAACATGGTTTGTGTAATTTTAAGTTAAAGACCTCGAACAAGGACTTATTGAAAAAAAAAAACACAGATGTACAAAAAAGATACATCAGATAATAGGATTTATAAAAGTGATTCAGAGGAACTCCAGAAATATTTGTCCAATTATTCTTAAGTCACAGTACACAAGGCCTTCTCACTGAATTTATTGAACGGCCAAAGGAACAGGTGTAAATGCAGAAAAGAACAGACGTTACTATTTGGATCTGTGACACTATGTTGAGATCGTGTAATTTGTTAATGAACTGAGAAGTACACAGACTATCAAATGCTCCTTTGTTATACATCTGACAAAGTTAACGTAGCTTTAGCACCTTAACCAATCTATAATTCAGAGTACTTACTCCTGAAATGGATAAAGACAACCATTAAGCTAGCACAGTCAACAGTAGAGGCATACCAGTTGAATACAGCAAAAGGACATGTTTTCTGTCATGTGTTGTATAAAAGTTAAAGTTGGAAAAGACGGGGAGAAATCAATGTAAACTGAGAACAATGAACATATCTCCTATTTACAAATAAGTAACACTGCCCAAAGAAAAATCTGTGTGGAAAGAGACCACCCGACCAAGAACATAAAGGAATTTCCAAAGGCCTGGTAGCTGAAAAGAAGTGAAGGGATAGCAGAAGAAATGACCATGCCATGCAGTACAGAAAGGGCCTTTGAATTTCTTTATATATATATTTTTTGAGATGGGGTCTCACTATATTGACCAGGCTGGTCTCAAACTCCTGGCCTCAAGCGATCCTCTCATTTTGGCTTCCCAAAGTGCTGGGATTACAGATGTGAGCCTAGCCTTTCTTTGCATATATATATATAAATATACACACACACACACACACATATATATACACACACACACACATATATATACACTTTTTTTTTTTTTAGACCAAGTCTCGCTCTGTCACCCAGGCTGGAGTGCAATGGCATGATTCTGCCTCACTGCAACCTCTGCCTCCTGGGTTCAAGTGATTCTCATGCCTCAGCCTCCCAAGCAGCTGGGATTTCAGGCACATGCCACCATGCCCGGCTAATTTTTTTTTCTTTTTTTTTTTTTTGAGACAGAGTCTCGCTCTGTCGCTCAGGCTGGAGTGCAGTGGTGCAATCTTGGCTCACTGCAAGCTCCGCCTCCCGGGTTCACGCCATTCTCCTGCCTCAGCCTCCTGAGTAGCTGGGACTACAGGTGCCCGCCACCACGCCTGGCTAATTTTTTGTATTTTTAGTAGAGATGGAGTTTCACCACGTTGGCCAGGCTGGTCATGAACTCCTGACCGCAGGTGATCACCCTCCTCGGCCTCCCAAAGTGCTGGGATTATAAACATAAGCCACCATGCCTGGCCCTTCATATTGTTTTGATAAAGAAGGTAATAATGTGGCTACTTTATTATTTTAATGAAAATAAGATTAGAAATGAATTTATTAAAAAAAAAACAGAACTCTGATTTTGTGTTTGCTTGTTTTTGATTTATGTCTTTTTTGCCCCAGATAGGACTCAAGCTGCCAGGCTCTTTTTGAAGAAGGCTGCAGTGGGTACACTTTGAGTTAGGAGGAGTACTATCCATCAGTCTTGACTTCCTAGCATTAGTCAAGACAGGCAAGGATGGACTGCAACAACATGCAGCCCTATTTCTTTTCCAGTGGTTAAAAAAACATAGGCTTCTTTCTAACTCATGCTGTAGATTCATTGTATGATGTCTGGGACTCTGTTCCACATTGTCCTCACTCCTGAATGTGAACTGACGGAGGCTGTGCCATCGGAAACCACAGCCCACTGTGATGCCGAGTGTGATGGCAAACATGGCTCTTAGATGTTTCTTCCTGGAAGTCACTCATTTGACTTCAGTTCATATGTCATTAGCCTGGAGTAAATCACGGACATTGCCTAACTTTAAGGAGAAGCAGGGCTAATACTTCCTTCTACATCTCCAGGAGGAGTAAGAAGCCAGATTTTGGTGACTTCACAGAGCCTTGTGACTAGCCTGGTCAACAGACTGTGAGTGGAACTGATGTGTGTCACTTCCTGGATGAGGCAGTGAATAGGTAACATCCTCCTTCAGTTCTCTCTTATCTTCCCACGATGACCTTGGGGGTCACATGTTGAGTTAGCAGCACCACAGAATGGAAGAAGCCTAGATTTTGAGTCACAGCTTTGAGAAATGCCCCCATAAACCCTCATCAGACTGTGCATGGATGAGAAAAAGCTTAATGACTCCAGCCATGAGATTTGAGGAACTGCTTGTTGCTATACCACAGTCTGTCCTATACAGGTAAGTAAAGTTACTGAGATTGTGTCAGAGCTGAGATTACAAGGCCAGGTGGGACTCTGACTGTGAGGGGTTGTTCATGTCATGATTATATCTGATGCAAAAAAAAGAAAAAAGAAAAGCAACTAGCTATAACATACCTTTTATTTACTATTTTTTATATTTTTATTGAGATGGAGTTTTACTCTTGTTGCCCAGGCTGGAGTGCAAGTGTGCAATCTTGGCTCACTGCAACCTCTGCCTCTGGGTTCAAGTGATTCTCCTGCCTCACCCTCCTAAGCAGCTGGGATTACACACATGTGCCATCATGGCAGGCTAATTTTGTATTTTTAGTAGAGATGGGGTTTCTTCATGTTGGTCAGGCTGGTTTCGAACTCCTGACCTCAGGTGATCTACCCGTCTCAGCCTCCGAAAGTGCTGGGATTACAGGAATGAGCCACCGCGCCCATCCTACTTCTTATTTTTTTATTTCTATGTTTTTGAGACAGAGTCTCACTCTCTTGCCCAGGCTGGAGTGCAATGGCATGATCTCGGCTCACTGCAACCTCTGACTCCCAGGTTCAAGCAATTCTCATGCCTCAGTCTCCTGAGTAGCTGTGATTACAGGCATGTGCCACCATGCCTGGCTAATTTTTGTATATTTTTGTAGAAACGGGGTTTTGGCATGTTGGCCAGGTCGATCTCAAACTCCTGACGTCAAGTGATCCGTCTGCCTCAGCCTCCCAAAGTGCCCAGCCAATTATAACATACTTTAAAAAATAACTGAAGAGTTACATACTAAAGGGAACTAGCTAAATAGATTATTTAGTCCTCTAAATTATAGCTACCATATAGGAAGTCACATGATGCTAGCAGAAAAGGACTAGTTTCAGGTGAAAAAGGAAAATATAGTTGCTGTTTCACAATAGGAAAATATAAAACGTAAACTATTTTACCACTATAGAAGGGAACAGATATCTGTAGTTATTACGCTGTGTAAAGCCAGATTGGTATGTACCATAAATTCAGGCTAAAAGGTGACTATTAGAGATTGAAAGTCTCAGGAATACAAGTTCCATGTCTTTGGAGGACTAAAAATATGCTTAATTCAAAGATACAACTCTGATTAGAGGCAGAATAGTATATAAAGTTAATTTATGATCATGGAGAGAAAAATGGGTAAAAATACCTGTTGCAATAAGCTCTTCTAGAATGTTCCTGAAAGATAATGTGGTAGGCAGAATTCTACAAATTCTCTCCCCTCAAGATTTCCCACCCTAATCCCTGGGTGAACAGGATGAAATATAACATCCACAAATATTTTATATTACATGGTAAAAGGGACTTTGCAGATGTAATTATGGTTATTAACCAGTTGACGTGAAGATAGGAGATTATTTTGGATAATCCGGGTAAGCCTAATCAAATAACATAGTCTTCTAAAACAAACTTGTCTTAGCTAGCAGCAGCAGAAGTCAGAGATACAAAGCACAAGAGGAATTCAATGCATTGTTTCTGGCTTTGATGAAGTTGGGGGGTCACATCCCAAGGAATGTGGATGGCATTTAGGAGCTGAGAGAAGACCCTGGTTTACAATGAGGAATTAAACGTGGATCTCAGTTGCACAACTTTAAGAAACTGAATTCAACCAACAGTCTGAATGATCTTGGAAGTGGGTTCATCCAGTAAGAGTCTAGACTGGATGACTTAGGAGATCGTAAACAGATAACACAACAACAATAGAAAACTAATACAATAATAATTCAGCTTAAATACTTCTGCTTAAGTACTTTCAATGACTGAGTGCTCATAACTTGACAAGAATTTTTTTCTTTCCATTGGAAGCTCTAAAGATTTGAATGATCTCAAATTAAGTCATCTGCAAATCTGCACATTTTGTTCCTCAGTTCTGGGTATTCTTCTCAAACACAAATCTGAAAACATCTGAAAACAGCTATTATTTTGTCAGATACAAATCTTAAGTTCCTCATTATCTTAAGAATGCAAAATTACCTGTCTCTTAAAATGTGGTGCCTGGAACTGAAAGCAATACCTCAAAAGTGGTCTGACTAGAAATGTCTGCTTTGAAATCTGACTCCTTTTGATCTGAAATCTACATCTATTAATTAAACAAAGTTATTATATTTTTTAAAAAGTATAACCCAATCTTTTTTATTTCCTTTTTTTTTTTTTTTTTTTTTTGACAGAGTCTCACTCTGTCACCAGGCTGGAATGCAGTGGTATGATCTCGGCTCCCTGCAACCTCCGCCTCTTGGGTTCATGCAGTTCTCCTGCCTCAGCCTCCTGAGTAGCTGGGACTACAGATGCGCGCCATCACACCCAGCTAATTTTTGTATTTTTAGTAGAGACAGGGCTTCATCATGTTGGCCAGGATGGTCTCGATCTCTTGACCTTGTGATCTGCCCGCCTCAGCCTCCCAAAGCGTTGGGATTATGGGCATAAGCCATTGCGCCTGGCCTTTTTTTTTTTTTTTCAGACAGTCTTGGCTCTGTCACCCAGGCTGGAGTGGGGTGACACGATCTCTGCTCACTGCAACCTACTGGGTTCAAGCAATTCTCCTGCCTCAGCCTCCCAAGTAGCTGCGATTACAGGTGCCCGCTACCATGCCTAGCTAATTTTTGTATTCTTAGTAGAGACAGGGTTTTGCCATGCTGACCAGGCTGGTCTCAAACTCCTGACCTCAGGTGATGTGCCCGCCTCAGCCTCCCAAAGTGCTGGGATTACAGGCATGAGCCACCACACCCAACCCTATAACCCAATCTTAATTAACACTGAGCTCGAGGTGAACTACAACTTCTAGATTTTTTTTTTTTTTTCACATGAATGGCTAAAAAGTCCTGTCTTCTTTACTCCATAACCATGCTGTTGATTTTCTTTTCTCTTTTTCTTTTTCTTTATTCTTTTTGTGTTAGATGTAGACTCCAAATGCATCAGATCCTTGTAAAATTTCCCCTTTTGTTTTTAGACCATCATTAAACCTGCTCAGATAGTTCACAACCTAACTCTGACTTCCCACAGTTTGACCATTCCTTCTTGCTTGATGACGTCATTAATTTGACGAGGATACCTTCTGTATCTCCATCTACATCACGAATAAAGATGTTGAGAAGGACGGGTAAAGGATACTCCCCTCTGGATATCCCTTTCACTTGGACATTTGCTAATTATTCAAGTGCTGCAAATTCACCTTCACCTTACTCCCTATGCAATGATCTGGCGTATGTTTCTAAATCTTTTCTACAGGATTCTAGATCCATCCATTTAGATAGTTTTTTTTTTTTTTTTTTTTTTTTTAGAGGAACTTACCAAGAGTTATAGAAGTTGATCTCTCTCTCTCTCTCTCTTTTTAAAACACCTATTGTCTAGATCAGGGATAAAGAATACATTCTGGCGGAGTGCGGTGGCTCACACCAGTACTTTGGGAGGCCAAGGCCAGTGGATCACTTGATGTCAGGAGTTCAAGACCAGCCTGGCTAATATGATGAAACCCCATCTCTACTGAAAATACAAAAATTAGCCAGGAATGGTGGCTCATCCCTGTAGTCCCAGCTACTCTGGAGGCAGAGGCAGAAGAATCGCTTGAACGTGAGAGGCGGAGGTTGCAGTGAGCCGAGATCGCACCACTACACTCCAGCTTGGCTAACAGGGTGAGACTGTCTCAAAAAAAAAAAAAAAAATTCTGAAATGTCACCTCCAAACGAGTAGTGGCTACCTAGAGCGTTGTATTGAGAAGGATCTTACGATTTGACTACAGCAGGAAAAATTTCTGGGGTTGATTAATTATGTCTACCAGAAAATAAAGAGTGCCACATGTTTGCCAGTCTGTCTATACAATCAGATTACAAATATCTTACTGTAGATTCCTATACCTGGTTGACAGATTCCTAATTCACTAAGGGTGGGGAAATGTTGATGGACCAGAAGAAACCAAGGCCCAGGGTATTAAGTCAAACAAAACTGTTTATATCAAAAGCAGATAGATGGAAATCTTTCAAAACTCCTTATCAGCTTGCCCCAGCTTCTTATTGGCTCTGCACTGTGCCACACACCCTCATCTTCCTAGAAGCTATAGATTTAAAGGAATCTTAAATTCCAACCAGAGAAAGATGAGTTTCTGGCAGCCTCATTTGGAGTTTGAATGAACATTCCTGTAGGTCAGGTCTTTAACGACCTATGTTGAATGAAGGAATAATCATTAGAAATACTGTTAGCCATGGTGGAAGTTAAGTTTCTTAATACAAGACCAATCTTCACTTGTATGAACCAGTTAAATAGGTCCTGAAGACTGACCTGGGCATCCTGATCATGAACAACATAGTTTCTACAGGAAAATGAGGTGGGAGTCGCATTTAGAAACACACTGGAAGAAACCGAAACTTTGTCTCAAAGTTAAGCACCTGCGCCACCCAATTTGCACAATTTGTTTATATTTTCAAGAGCATAAATTTTATCCTCCTTGTTAATTATATATGCCTTCTGCTTATTATATGCCTACAGGTCACAGGAACCTCAAGTATTTCACAGAATGATGCCAAGGAGCGCAGTTTCTACACCATCCCTCCGGACCAGACCACATCTATTCCAATCCCAGTCTCAAACACTTCCCCTTTTTCAACTCCCATTAATGAATTCACTAAGTACCTAGCACTGAGAATAAAAAATTAAAGCAGCACCCGTCTTCTCTGCTCTTACACAGCTTACAGCCCACAGCAAAGCACAAGTCAGCAAACTCACGCGCTCCACCTGCCACCCCTAAAACCCAGGCTCATCACGCTCGGCTCCACCTCTTCATCTAGCTCCGCCCCTTCCTGCAGGCCCCACCCCTTTCCCATCAGGCTCCTCCCCTCATTCCATGAGCCTTTTTTCCTCATTCCATGAGCCTTTTTTCCTCATTCCATGAGCCTTTTTTCCTCATCCAGCTCTTCCCCTTCCTCCGCCAGTTCCTACCGTGCCACAAAGACGCCAGCCCTTCTTTCAAGCTATCCCATTCAGAAAAGCATTCTCGATTGTCCTTTCGAACTCATCCCTGTCCTCCGTCTACCCGCCCTTAAAGGGATCCGCCCTTAAGGGTCCGCCCCCAACGGCTCCTCCTCAGTCCCCGCCCACCGCCCCAGATCCCGCCCCCTCCCCAGGCCCCGTCCGCTTTGGGGCAGCCCCAGCCCTTAGTGCCTCTGCCTTTCGATTCCCCGCGTCAGAGGGTCGCTTCCTTTCGAACAAGGCAGGGCCTCTCGCTCTGTCGCCTTTGGAGTGGTCCGGGGCCTTGCCCCAGGGATGGAGAAATGGCCGCTCACACCCACCTGTGGGGCCGAGCGGATGGAAGGCCTCGCGACAGCTAGTCCCGGCCCGTGGGCGAGGGCGACTCAGGTCGCTGCCTGCCGGGCCGTTGCCCTGAGTTACGGCCACGCTGGGGGCGGGACCGCGGCGGAAGTGACGTAGCCCAACAAAGCTAAGCACAGGCGGGGCGGCTCGTGGCACCTCCTACCCGCTCTGGAAGCTGCCGCCGGAAGGGCCAACGTATGAGGGTCTGAGAAGGTGGAGGTGGAGGCCTATCCGGGCCCTCGGGCCGGCGAGTTCCGTGGGAGCGCCCTTTTGCCTGCTAGGATGTTTAGTAGATGCCAGGGTCTCCCTCGGCTCCCTGAGGAACCGCCGTGCGCGTTTCCCATGGACACAAACTTCACAGGCCCAGAACGTCACGGGAGGACGCGTTGTGAACCTCAAAGAGCCCACTTACGTGACAGCGCCGGGCCGACGGACACTCGCTGAACTTCTGGCCCGGAGCAGCACAGCTCTGAAGTGGGCACTGGCATCTTTTATACAAATAAAGGAAAGTGGCCCCACGTCCCTAAAACAACAGCTTGCTGAAGAGAGATCGCAAGGCATCCTTCACTCCAGCTCGGGTCTGACTCCAAAGCCCTCTGCTTTAGAAAGTGTGACTACTTCTGCTGTAGAAAACCGGTATCTAGGCCGGGCGCGGTGGCTCATGCCTGAAATTCCAGCACTTTGGGAGGCCGAGGCGGGTGTATCACCTGAGGACAGGAGTTCGAGACCAGCCTGGACAACATAGCGAAACCCTGTCTACTAAAAATACAAAAATTAGCCGGGTGTGGTGGCGAGCACCTGTAATCCCAGCTACTTGGGAGACTGAGGCAGGAGAATGGCTTGAACCCGGGCGGCGGAGGTTGCAGTGAATTGAGAGCATACCACTGCACTCCAGCCTGGAGAGCAAAACTCAGTCTCAAAAAAAAAAAAATCGGTATCTGAGTTCTCTAGCACCGTGATTGCTCCAGTGAGACGGATTCATATATAATTCTATTCCAATTTTTTTCATACGTGTAAGCTTAGGTACCTTGTCCACATAAATAGGAAGTTGCAACTAAAAGGGGTTTTATTATAGTAGTATCTCAAGCTAGTAAGTATTAACCAAAAACATTTAAATGTTTTATCAGTTGACAATTTGTTTTGGTCTTCCTTCAGATCTATTGAAAACAGCTGGGCACCGTGGCGCACACCTGGAATCCCAGCTGAGGCAGGAGGCTCCCTCGAGCCCAGGAATTGAAGGTTGCAGTAGGCTATGATTGTGTCACTGCACTCCAGCCTGGGAAACAGTACAAGACCTTGCAAATTAGAAAAAAGTTTCTGGAAAGTATACCAAAAGTCTTAAGATTTGCTAAATGAATATTAATTCAGCAACCTAACAGCAAGTACATGGGGGAAGTTGGAGGATCTAGAAACTGACTTCCTTCACACCAACGACTCCTGCATTTAGCAGGTAAAAGCCCAATAGCATGATTGAGTGGAAACATGAAGGGACAAGGGTTAGGCTAGTTATGTTTATAAAAAGTCAACAGAGATTGAGTCAAGATACCAGAAACTCTACTGTAGTAAGATCCCAATTTGCAAAAACAGAAAGGAAGCATATGGAACTGTACCTTCTCAATTTTGCTGTGAATGTAAACTTCCTCTAACACATAAAATTTATTTTAAAGAAAAAAAGCCAGGAGTGGTGGCTTGCGCCTGTAGTGCCAGTTACTCACAGGGGAGGCTAAGGCAGGAGAATCACTTGAGACCAGCCTGGGAACTGTCACAAGACCCCATATCTATTTTTTTAAATTAAAGGGGGATGGGTGGGTGCGGTGGCTCACACCTGTAATCCTAGCACTTTGGGTGGATGAGGTGGGTGGATCACTTGAGGTCAGAAGTTCAAGACCAGCCTGGCCAACATGGCAAAGCCCCATTACTACTAAAAATAGAAAAATTAGCTGGGCGTGGTAATGGACGCCTGTAATCCCAGCTACTCAGGAGGCTGAGATGGGAGAATCACCTTAACCTGGGAGGTGCAGGTTGCAGTGAGCCGAGATCGTGCCATTGCACTCCAGCCTGGGTGGCAGGAAAGGCCTACTGCAGGGAAGAAAGACGAATTTAATCCTGGTGTAAAGAAAGGCACGTCTCTAAGGATGGGAAGGAAGGTGTGATTTGGTCTGAAAGAATACTGTAAAAAAGACACACTTGTAGTTAGCATAATTCTTTAAATTGTTCTCTTTTTAGTAGCCCCAGAAAATCTACAGAAATTGGAAAAATTCAGAAATTCTGATTTGCTGAGGAACTGATCTGAACGACCAGCCTCATTTTCATAGTAGTATGGCCATGCAGAGCTCCCTAGTGGTTTATTAAAACCTAAAGCTGGCCGGGCGCAGTGACTCACACCTGTACTCCCAGCATTTTGGGAGGCCAAGGCGAGTGGATCATCTGAGGTCACCAGTTCGAGACCAGCCTGGCCAACATGGAGAAACCCCATCTCTACTAAAAATGCAAAAATTAGCCGGGCATGGTTGTGGTCTGGGTGCCTGTATTCCCAGCTATCCTGGAGGCTGAGGCAGGAGAATTGCCTGAACCTGAGAGGTGGAGGTTGCAACGAGCCAATATGGTGTCACTGCACTCTGGCCTGGGCAAAAGAGTGAGACTCTGTCTCAAAAAAAAAAAAAACAAAACAAAAAAACAAACCCTAAAGTTAACAACTAAACCACCTGGGAGGTGATACCAGAAAAAAAATTTAACACTTCCTGGGTAACCTATTGAGTTTCTCATTTTAGTTACTAGAAAGCTTTCTTCAAAACTTTTATTAATCTGCTCTATTAATGCCAAAACCATTCAAAAGGAATATGAGGTCATGAAAATTAAATTCCCTGGATTCAGTCAATTTGGAGGGCCATTCAAAGCCTGTATTTTTGGCAGCGCTGTGACATAAATGACAGTAGATTTGGCTCTGTGTTCTAAATAGTGGAACAGCAAGTTGCCATATGTTCTACTCTTTGAAAAAGAGTTGTTACAGAGCAAGTATGTGTGTCTTTAGGAGGAAAAAGGAAAATAAACTGCCCACCTTCTTCAGAGACTATAACCACTCATGGACTTTAATACTCTAGAACGGCCACTTTTGCTTCCCACCTTTATTTAGAACATTCATCTTCCCCCTCTACCCAGAGATTCCCATTTAAAAAAAAGAAATTTTTTTTTTTTTGAGACAGAGTCTCGCTCTGCCCCCCAGGCTGGAGTGCAGTGGCACGATCTCAGCTCACTGCAAGCTCCGCCTCCTGGGCTCATGCCATTCTTCTGCCTCAGCCTCCCGAGTAGCTGGGACTATAGGCGACTGCCACCATGCCTGGCTATTTTGAAACCGTGTGAAACCGTGTTAGCCAGGATGGTCTTGATCTCCTGACCTCATGATCCGCCCGCCTCGGCCTCCCAAAGTGCTGGGATTACAGGCATGAGCCACTGCGCCCGGCCCCATTTAAATATTTTTATAGTAAAATTTGCTAAGGGACTAAGAGTAGACCAGGAAATGTGAAAATCATTACTACGACTACCCAACTATTTAACAAATTTCTTATCCTATCACCTTTCATACCTGTGAAACGATGGTAATAATCGATGTGTCTAGAGAACTTTCAAAACAAAAGGGTAAATCTATGTAATTACTCATCCCCACGTATTTTCTTTTTTTTTTTTTAAGACGAAGTCTCACTCTGTCGCCCAGGCTGGAGTGCAGTGGCGTGATCTCAGCTCACTGCAACCTCCGCCTCCTGGGTTCAAGCGATTCTCCTGCCTCAGCCTCCCAAATAGCTGGCACTACAGGTGCATACCACCATGCCTGGCTAATTTTTTGTATTTTTAGTAGACATAGGGTTTCATTGTGTTAGCCAGGATGGTCTCAATCTCCTGACCTTGTGATCTGCCCACCTCGGCCCCAAAGTGCTGGGATTACAGGCGTGAGCCACCGCGCCCGGCCTATTTTCTTTTTTGTTCTTTTTTTTTGAGACGGAGTTTCGCTCTTGTTGCCTCAGCCTCCTGAGCAGCTGGGATTACAGGTCACCACACCCAGCTAATTTTGTATTTTTAGTAGAGACAGGGTTTCTCCATGTTGATCACGGTCGTCTCGAACTCCCAACCTCAAGTGATGCACCCGCCTCAGCTTCCCGAAGTGTTGGGACCGCCCCCAGCCATCCCCATCTATTTTCTAAGCAGACAGATCAATTAACCTGATTGATAATTATACAATATAGATAATCATCCAGGATACCTTGGATACTTTGAGACATGTTCTCACTGTCACCCAGGCTGGAGTACAGTGGTGTGATCACTGCAGCCTTTACCTCCCAGACTGATCCTACCTGCCTCCCAAATAGCTGGGACCACACGTACATGCCACCATTCCAGGCTAATTTTTGTATTTTTGTAGAGATGGGGTTTCACCATGTTGCCCAGGCTGGTCTCAAACTCCTGGGCTCAAGAGATCCACCGAACTTGGCCTCCCAAAGTGGTAGGATTACAGGCGTGAGCCACCACGCCTGGTCAGTACTTTCTGGATAAGGGTACAAAGATATAGTTCAGCAGTGATATGGCTACTGGCAGAGTCTTGGAACGAACAGTTTCTTCATCTGAGGAGCAGGAAAGATTTGTATGTTATTTACCTACCTACTTTCGCTAGGTCCTTCTATTTGCTGTTTGTTCATCACCAGAAGGTGGTACTATATGAATACTTCTCTTTTCCTCTAGTAACTGAGAAAATGATACAGGAGTTTTTATCTCCTCTCGCTGTGTGTATGTGTATATATATATGTGCATGTTCATATAGACCCTCCCACCCCAATACTGTCAGCATATTACAGTTGGTTAGAGTATGCTACATATTAGCTACTTGGAAATACCTTTTGGCACTCTAAATATGCTTAAGTTGCAAAGAATACTCACTATCAAAGTCCATTATCTGAGCTCACAAAGCTTCAATCTGTGTCCACTTTTATTCCCATGACTTAAGTGGAAACCTGAATGTGGTTTAACTTCTTAAAAATACTATGTGCTGGCCGGGCGCGGTGGCTCAAGCCTGTAATCCCAGCACTTTGGGAGGCCGAGACGGGCGGATTACGAGGTCAGGAGATCGAGACCATCCTGGCTAACACAATGAAACCCCGTCTCCACTAAAAATACAAAAAAAGTAGCCGGGCGTGGTGGCGGCGCCTGTAGTCCCAGCTACTCGGGAGGCTGAGGCAGGAGAATGGCGGGAACCTGGGAGGCGGAGCTTGCAGTGAGCCGAGATCGCGCCACTGCACTCCAGCCTGGGCGACAGAGCGAGACTCCGCCTCAAAAAAAAAAAAAAAAAAAAATACTATGTGCTATACTGATCAAAACTTCCACCTTCCTTTGTCTTTCCTCTTCTTTCTTCGGACCTCACATGATAGAAAATCAAAGTTGGTGATTTATTTTTTATTATGTTAAAGGTGATCTTGGCTTAAGAAAAACCAGATTCGTGACTAAAGGAAACATTTTCTTGGAGCTTTTCATTGTCTGGCTTAAATTTCCTTTAAAAAAAAAAAAGTAACTTTCCCTAAGTTAAAGTTAGCACTTTCACAAATGCTAGCAGAGTCACTAAATGAAATATTAACATCAAAACAAAAAAAACATGATTAACGAAGAAGTATTTTATTATTTTGCTGCAAAGCTGTTGCTTCACCGTATAAAAATAGCACCAGCAAATGCAGTGTATTGCAAAATCAAGATAGTGGTGTGTCATCTAACACTGTACAAGCAACAAAAACCTCTTCACTCCCAGTTATTTCCAATGGAAAGGTCATTAAGTATTTCATCCCAAATCCAGGCAAGTTACAATATTATATAAGGCTTAAGAATAACAACATTATCTTTGAATTATGTAATTTTTAAAACTAGTTTTTACCATGGATAATTTAATGAA